TGACAAACGAGCACACAGTCCACCTGATGGTAAGTGGTTGCTGCGGCCCATAGACATCTACATCTATCCTCGTTTGCGAATCAAAATGCAGATGCGTTGTCACCCGTGAGGACTAAGATGGAATGCCTCATTCCCAGTAAAAAGGGCCTCCGGCCACCTGCACTCACCAAGCGAAACGTATAGGTAAACCTCTACCCCGGTTCGAGCCGGCCCATCCGTGCGACAGCAAAAGCTGCCGCGTGGCTCTACCACTGTTATACTTCTTTAGTGTAACAAAAAAAAAACTAAAAATAACTACCTTAAAAATATAGTTATCAGTTCCCACGTAATTTATTGTCATTAGAGACAGTTGTCGCTTTGAGGTGTCAGTGTGAGGTATCGTAACAACTTCATGGCGTCGTTTTTAGCTGTCGGTGTGAGCGCGCATACGTAAAAAATTCACTCTCATAATTTTTCCCAAACGCCCCAAAAGAAGTATAACTTCAAAAATACATATTGCTGTTTTGAGCCACTATTAAAATATAATCGTTGTTCAATTTTGTAATTATAGCATTAAGACCCCTAATATAGTAGGATACTATAGTATATAGTAAGTTTGGCAGCCCTACCTCCAATAGAATAACAGATTAATTATCGTATTTACCAAGAAGAAGGTAGTCAAGAGCTGACAACCCTGATAACCTTGAACCTTCAAATATAGTAACATAGCACTCAGATGATGGCAGAAATCGGTAAGAATGTAACATATTTATACTGACATCTAGGTAGAAAAGGTGTTCTGACCTCGAAATCAACTCATGTAGGATGACAAGGAAGTCAGTCTATTAAAACAACGGTTCCCAATTAATTTCTCTATTATACCACGTTAAGAAAGAGCTTAAACACCCCTTATTATCGATATGATAAATCTTTATATATAAAAATTACGTATCACATTGTTTGTCCGCGATGAACTCCTAAACTACTGAACTGATTTCAATGAAATTTTGCACACTGTGTGCAGTTTGGTCCAACTTGAGAGATAGGATAGTTTTTATCCTGATAAGTGACCCTCAATTTTTTTTATTGCTAATCTCAGTTTTTTTTTAGGATAGCAAATAGTCGTTGCAAAGGGCAGAACAACGTCTGTCTGGCCAGCTAGTAAAATATAAAAACGCATTCTGCCATTTATTAACTTCTTAAATATTATAATAATAATGAAAATGACGCCCAATTCATGGATGATGGATTTAAGAAATACGCGCAAAGGGCCGCTGCCTGGAGGTCGCCAGAGCGCGTCTGGAGCTGGCGCTGGACGCGGCAGCATGCTAACCGCCAGTTGACCGCGAGGTGCTGCACGATCACCCAGCAGCCCCTCGCATCCATCATCCCCACCAGCTGGCTTGGTGTTGGCAGGGTCTTCGTTGGCCCAGCAATCAGCACCCGCCACTGGTGGAGTACGCCGCATGCGTTAGTCAATGCAAATGAATAAAAATGCATTGCGGGCGTATTTTGGGGCGAAAGGGAGAGAAATTGGAGGTTTTGGGTATCGGGCTAGGATGCAACGACTATTTGCTGAGCTGGAGCCGAAGGCGGTGCTCCTCGATACCGCCCGCATCGTCCGCCGGTTTCTTTCCCTTTCTCCCTAACCCTCGGCCGTTTGGTCTCCCCTGCCGAGGGCTTCCATCTGGTTGGGTTTTTATATATTTATGTATTTATTTTATTTTATTGATATTTATGTAAGTTTATCATTTTCATTTACAATTATATATTTATACAGCCCAACCAGATGAGAAAACTATACAAATACCCCATAATGAAAATCACATCAGCTGTAGCACTAACGTGTAGTTCTTTGCTCAACTTTAAAAACAATAGATTCCAATTAATTTTTCCCAAGAAAGAAATGCTTCGGTGGTTTGGTCATGTAGAAAGAATGAACAAGGAAAGAGTTATGTTGCTGAGGTGAACGGCAGAGTCGGGAAGGTACGCCCTAGGCGAAGGTTTATCGACCAAATTGGCGATATTTTGAAAATGGGCAAAATTAAGAGTACCTTTAACCGACGAGCGTGTATGCGTAGGTATATGGATGTGGAGGAAATGAGAGAGGTGTGTCAGGATCGTGCCAAATGGAAGTCCATAGTCTCTGCCTACCCCCCTGGGTGACAGGGATAAGTGTTTATGTATTTTCCCGCGTATCATTTCGAGCAAGCGCTCAAGCACATGTACTCCTTATCACCGAAATGATAAATAAAAATATAAAACGTGTTTTTCCTACTTTTTTTTATAGGATAGGGAGACAAACGAGCACACAGTCCACCTGATGGTATGTGGTTGCTGTGGTCCATAGACATCTACATTTATCCACGTTTGTGAATCAAAATGCAGATGCGTATAGTCACAAATTGCAGGAATTTACATGAATGGTAATCCACACAAAGAGGGCATCTACATTTCAAGTGCAGTTCTCAATAAATGTATGGTTAGCTCTAATCGATAACGTTTTAATTGGTCCTGTTATTTTACCAACTACATTAAACTGCAAACGTTTTTTAACCTTATTAAGAGACGAAGTGCCATTTCTGCTCGAAGTTTGTTTGTTTGTTTGGGGGGGGGGGGGGTATGTTTTAGCAGATGGACATTACAGGCGAAATGTGCTAAGTTTTTGGAGGAGCGAAAATATGCTTAACGGATGGATTGACTAGGAATGACCAGTAGGCTGGCGAGCGCGTTCACCTGATCTGACACCTCTTAAACTAGTTTTTGTGGAGTGCCATGAAACAAAGTCTACAGAACCATGGTAAACACCGAGGTCGAATTACAAAATCAAATTCTTCAATATGCGAATGAGATAAAAAGTGACCCAGGGATGGTGGGTAGAGCTACAAACCAAATTGCTCTTGTTGCCGCAATGTGAATCCAGCAACGGGGGGGCCATTTTGAGCATTTAATGCATTAGTTATAAGAACTGTGTGCTTTGATTATTTTGGATCATTGTTATTACCTTCTATAATAAAAAAAAAACTTGTAAACCATCAAAAACTTTTATTTACCATAATTCCGCAAGAGACTTCCCGCTTTGACAAAAATAATAAATGGTCACGTTTACCATATAGTCCTGATCTTGCAACCTCAAATTTTCAGCTGTTTCAGTCTCTTGAGAATTCATTGGGTAGTGTTAGGTTAACATCCAGAGAGGACTATCAAAACTACAGCAACAGGATCATGATACTACTAGATGGAATGCCTCTTTTCCAGTAAAAAGTGTCTCCGGTTCTCTACACTCACCATACGAAACACAGCAGTGTCAAGCTGCCATTTTACGCTGGTATTCTGTGAGAGCGTGGTCCTTCCCCGGTCGAGCCGACCCATTCGTGCTACAACTATACTATTAATATAGCTGCAGCATGGCTCTACCACGTACTTTTATTAACTCAACATTTTAGTAATAAAGTTTTTGGAGTTATTTAAGTACAATGGGACTAATTTGTTTCCATCTGTCGCCTCTTACGTCACCAACGGGAAGATACGGTGTAGTGGATATTCTTACACCGCCACTACACGGTAACCACTGTAGTAAAACATCCAGCACGACGAGCATGGGCTGTGACATGGACAAAAAATTTATCCCCCGATTATTTCCACTGACAAGAGATAAAATTATCTTGTTCTTATGCCAAAGCACGGCAACGGGGAGAATTATATCCCCGTTTGACATAACATGTAGACATATATCCCCCGTCCGTAGCATGGAGCCAAATGAAAGATAAAAATTATACTTTTTTGACAGTTGAAAGGGACAATTATATCATAATTCACTGGACATGGATGTTTATATTCATACAAAAAATCTATCTACGTCTAAGTCTATCTCCCATTTTATCTACTGTGGATATTATATCCACCGGTGTGCCCCAGCTCGAAGGATGGATAAAACGAAGCTAGGGGATAAACATTTTCTCCTTTCCCCGGGGATAAAATTGTCTCCTGCCCATGCTAGCCCTGCTGTGCCTACCAAGCCGTCATATGAAACATAAGCTGTAGGCGGCGCCACTGAGGAATGCGGTGATATACTCGACAGATTTCATGGATAGGAAGTTATATTGTTAGGAAAGTACAAAGGTTAATGTTTCTTTTTGAAATATTAGTTATATTTTAAATCAATAGAAATGGTAGAGCCATGCTATATTAGTAGTATCGGTTTAGCACGAATGGGTCGGCTCGTCCGAGGAAGGACCACGCTCTCACAGAATACCAGCGTCACATGGCAGCTTGACACTGCTGTGTTTCATTTTACTGGAAAAGAGGCATTCCATCATAGTTCTCACGGGTAACGCCGCATCTGCTTTTTGATTCTTTATTGAGGATAAATGTAGATGTCTATGGGTCACAGCAACCCCTTACCATCAGGTGAACTGTGTGCTTGTTTGTCACCCTATCCTATAAAAAAATAGATTAAAAATGGATAAACCATACTATGTATATTTCTAAAAGTAAAAAAATTACAAGAGGTACAAATAAAAGTTTTGTACAATCGACTTCAATATAAATAAAATTAGAACATCATCAATGTAGTCGAAGTCAATTAAATACGCATTATTAAGGATAACTCAAAAACTACTGGTCAGATCTTGATCAAATTTATATTGGATCACATGAGAAGCACCAGCTTTCAATTTAAAAAATGAATCATTAAGATCGGTTCAACTAGAAAAAAGTTCTGAGGTACACATTAAAAAATATAGTCGAATTGAGAACCTCCTTTTTTGCAAGTCGTTTGAAAAAAGAGAGTTAAGAATAGAGAAACCACTGAGGCATAGTTTTGTGTTTAAAGGTACATACATACATTACATTAGAAACCGAAAAACTTTTATATAAAACGAAACTTCACCTCAGTCCCAAGACATCTGGCGGGCGAAAAGTTATTAGCCCCCACTAAATATATCGTTTTCATATTTATATAGACAGTAAATATCTAAACGGAATAAATAAAATTACAGGATGATTTCTTCAGCAAAGTATTAGGTCTGAAGATTTTGCTCGCTCTTCAGCTCCAAGGCCCAGACGTGCTGTGGCCAACCCGTTCTTCCTTTAGCCTTCTTCTCTACTGCTGCGCTGTTCTGGAAAGAGAAGATTGATTGTAACGGACACAGAAATCACCAAAGCATTCTTTTTATGAAATTACCAAGCTGCAGCTATATTTATAGTACAGTTGTAGCACGAATGGGTCGGCTCGACCGGGGAAGGACCACGCTCTCGCAGGATACCAGCGCAAAATAGCAGCTTAATGCTGCTGTGTCTCGTATGGTGAGTGTAGAGAACCGGAGACGCTTTTTACTGGAAAAGATTCCATCTTAGTCCTCAAGGCTGACAACGCATCTGCATTTTGATTCGTAAACGAGGATAGATGTAGATGTCTATGGGCCTCAGCAACCACTTACCATCAGGAGGACTGTGTGCTCGTTTGTCACCCTAGTACTATAAATAAAAAGTTTTCCGCGACTTCGTCCGCGTGGAATTTATTACGATGTATTTCAAGAGTTTTTCATTCTTTGCGCGGAACCCTAATTATTTTTCTAAAGTAAATGTAGCCTTAGTTACTCCTTATAACATTTTCTCTCAGTGAAAGTCTAGTCAAAATCGGTCCACCCGTTTCGGAGATTAGCCGGAACAAACAGACAGTACCGGCAGATGGACAGACAGACAGACAAAAGTTTTAACGATTGCATTTTTGTTATAAATACCTTATATACTTTCATATGCATTTAGTAAAAAGCTATTATTTTGACATTACAAACAGACACTTTAATTTTATTTATTTGTATAGATGTATATATTATATAGATAGGTATCAAGCGGGCACACAGTCCATCTGATGATAATTGTATGCTATGGTCCATCGACTCCTGTACCTATCATAAGAAGCATATATACTTGATTAATCCTCCTCAAATATTAAAGATAAAAAAAGCCTGCCAAGTGCGAGTCGGACTCGCGCATAAAGGGTTCTGTACCATCGTAAAACACGTTACTAGTAGAAGAGCCCCTTTTAATTTTTAATTTATTTTTTATTTTCATTATTTCTTGTTATAGCGACAACGGAAATACACATTCTGTAAAAATTTCAAATCTTTACCTATTACGGATCATGAGATACAGCCCGCTGACAGACAGACGGCTTATACGTGGTAGAGCCATGCTGCAGCTATATTAGTAGTATAGTTGTAGCACGAATGGGTCGGCTCGACCGGGGAAGGACCACGCTCTCACAGAATACCAGCGTAAAATAGCAGCTTAACACTGCTGTGTTTCATTTTACTGGAAAAGAGGCATTCCATCTTAGAGTCCTCACGGGTGACGACGCATCTGCATTTTGATTATTTATAGAGAATAAATGTAGATGTCTATGGGTCACAGCAACCACTTACCATCAGCTGGGCTGTGTGCTCGTTTGTCACCTTATCCTATAAAAAAAAAGACGGGTGAACAGCGGATGCTTATTAATAGGGGCCAGTTGGTTACCCTTTGGGTACGAAAACCTAAAATTTAACTTGCTAAGTTTCGCGTAATGAAACAAATTAGAACGGAGTCTTAGCGGCCAGCCTCCGCAGAGTCTACTTCACCTGAGGATGCCTCGTGTAGAGGCGAAACACGTGTCGTATTATCGACGATGGTGTGTGTTTCCTAGTGTAGTGATGTTGTTAGTGGTGCTAGGATTAGTGGTGATGGGGATAGTGCACGCAATTGAGGGAGGGCGGGAGGTGCTCCACGAACCAGGTAAGACACGTCATTTTATTTTACAACGCGGAGCCTAGCATGTTAATTATTAGATTCTTCAATATATTGGATTTCCGCAAAGTTATTAAGTAACGCCTGATTCTATTAATCACCTCTTCGAATAATCATAAAGCAGATGCGTCGCTACGCGTGACTTAAAGATAAAGTAAACTTACTTAAAACTTACAACTTACTTTAAACACGCGTGAATTAAAAAAAAAGTTACAGCCTATATACGTCCCACTGCTGGGCGCAGGCCTCCTCTAATTTCTGAGAGGGTTTTAGGGCAAGGAAGTGTCCGCCGCGGTGCCACAATGCGTGTTGGCGAACTTCACATGTCTTAATTTTTTTTTATAGAGTAGGGTAACAGACGAGCACATAGTCCACCTGATGGTAAGTGGTTACTGTGACCCATAGACATCTACATCTATCCTCAATAAAGACTCAAAATGCAGATGTGTTGTCACCCGAGAGGACTAAGATGGAATGCTTCTTGTCCAGTAAAAAAGGTCTCCGGTTCTCTACACTCAGCGTACGAAACACAGCAGTGTTAAGCTGCTATTTTACGCTGGTATTCTGTGAGAGCGTAGTCCTTCCCCGGTCGAGCCGACCCATTCGTGCTACAACTATACTACTGATATAGCTGCAGTATGGCTCTACCACGTGTAAAATATATATTTTTTCTTATTTCTCAGACATGTAGGTTTCCTCACGATGTTTTACTTCACCGCCGAGCACGTGGTAAATCAGCACTTAAAATTGCAATTAACAATTTCATCGGTGCCGGCGGGGATCGAACCCGGGTTTCTCGCGTTCTGTGAAATTTATTGAAGAGTTTTAATAATATAAAAGAAAATGTCTGTACGTGGTAGAGCCACACTGCAGCTATATATATTATGGTTGTAGCACGAATGGGTCGGTTTGACCGGGGAAGGACCACGCTCTCACATAATTTCAGCGTAAAATAGTAGCTTAACACTGCTGTGTTTCGTATGGTGAGTGTAGAGAATTGGATATACTTTTACTGGAAACGAGGCATTCCATCTTAGTACTCAGGGGTGAAAATGCATCTGTATTTTGATTCTTAATCGAGGATATATAGGTGAACTGTGTGTTCTTTTGTCACCCATATTCTATTAAAAAAAATACCAGTTTCACTAGCGTAATGTCAATTCTAAATTTCAAAACAACGGTGATTACCAAACTTAAATTTTCTCCAAATTCTAATCACACCTATTTATGTTACCTATTGAAACTAAAAATACAAAAGATGTAGGTTCGAAAATGGAACGCAACATGAATTACCTCATATAATCTGTTACAAATAGACTGGTGGGAAACAAATTAAAAGTTTCTTTTTTTTTTCAAGTATCGTCTAAACAAGCGATGCATTGATTGCCAGCACGTGTTGTCGAGTGGCTGAACGGGGCTTGACTTTGCTTCAAAAAAAAAACCCGGGCAAAAAATTCTTGCTCCTGTATAGTGGCTAATTTTGACATTAGTTTTTACACAGTGTATTTTTTAACGTTTTTTTTTACGCGCACAGATAATGTACCTTCAGCAGGCACTCTGTTGACAGTTTCACAACCTTCTAAAATTTGTGCCTAACCTATGTAGTATGCAGCTTAGTGTCGATAGATCTTGGTCATGTATGAATATTATATAATAGAGCCATGTAGTAACCATTTTATGTTTGTAGCACGAATGTGAAACGAAATCGACCGGGAAAAGACCACGCTCTCACAGAATAAAAGTTAAAAAGTTAAAGTTACAGCCTATATACGTCCCACTACTGGGCACAGGCCTTCCCTCATTTCTGAACGGGTTTTACGCCAAGGAAATGTCCGTTGCGCTGCCCCAATGCGTGTTGGTGAACTGCACATGTCTTCGAAATACTTTTTTTCTTATTTCTCAGACATACGGGTTTCCTCACGCTCTCACAGAATACCAGCATAAAATAGCAGCTAAATGTTGCTGTGTTTTAAGTGTAGGGAAACGGACACCTTTTTTACTGGATACGAAGCATTTCATATTAGACCTCATTTCTCGATTCATTCTTATTCGAGGATAGATGTAGATCCATAAGCATCCACAGAAACCAATTACCTTCAGGTGGGCTGTGGGATGTGTGCTCGTTTGTCACCTTTATTCTATATAAAAAAGAGAATAGACAGGTTTATCCCTACATTGCTTCCTTATTAGCCTTTAAAAGTCTACCCATTTAATTGGCCCTCTCCCGGTGTAAGAAGTATTCCCCTTGTCACGTTTGGCGGGCAAAAGCCCTAAGATTTTTCAGGGATATCTTTTTTTTATAGGATCGAGTGACAAACGAGCACACAGTCCACCTGATGGTAAGTTGTTGCTGTGACCCATAGATATCTACGTTTATCCTCGTTTGCGAAACAAAATGCAGATGTGTTGTTACCCGTGAGGACTTAGATGGAATGCCTCTTTTCCAGTTTACGAAACACAGCAGTGTTAAACTGCTATTTTACGCTGGTTTTCTGTGAGAGCGTGGTCCTTCCCCGGTCGAGCCGACCCATTCGGGCTACAACTATATTATTAATATAAGCTGTAGCATGGCTCTACCACGTATAAAAATCTTTCTTCTTCTTTACTTTATGAAATCTCCAGATATAATTCTGCTAATGTCAAGTCAGTGAGTATATCCTGTTGTCAGTATGATCATTATCTCTTTAACTGTCATCATTTAAGGATTCTTTCTTAAATTGCCGCCCCTGAAATCATCAGTTGTCCCACTGCAACGCCACTGCATAAATATAATAAAAAAATACCATTTTCAAATCTTACTCATCATATCTTCTTACCATGGTAGCTCATGGGCTAAGCGCTCGCTGTAAATTTAATAGTACGCGAGCAACCCGGGTTCGATCTCCGCCGGCACCAATGCAATTGTTAATTGCAATTTTAAGTACCGATTTACCACGTGCTCGGCGGTGAAGGAATACATCTTGCGTAAAACCTGCATGGCTGAGAAATAAAAAAAAAGAACTATATTTCGAAGACATGTGAAGTTCGCCAACACGCATTGGGGCAGCGCGGCGGACACATCCTTGCCCTAAAACCGTCTCAGAAATGAGAGGAGGCCTGTGCCCAGCAGTGGGACGTATATATAGGCTGCAAATTTAACTTTTATCTTATTATTATTATTATTATAAAGCCATTTATTTCCTTAACAAAATTATTAAAATACATTTCATTAATTATTAATTTCATTAAATAATTTAAAATAGAAACAAAACAAACATAATCAGATCATGAAAGAAAATACATTTAAATAAGATAAAATTATCGTTACAATCAATATTTTTTTTTTATCTTATTACGGTGACATATTAGTTATGAAGATCTAATAATAGCTTAATGGTTAACGGTGCGGATCGCAAACTCTGATAGTTGTGGGTTCGAATCCGATATTCGACTACTGTAGCATACTCCTAACACAAATGCTTAAAGCATGGGTACTTTGAGTAGAGTAAACAGGGAATAGTAGTGTAATGTTAATAGTGTTACTAGTAATATTTTTAAAAATAAAAATATACCACATGTAGGTCAATTCTTTACCTGAGCTGATAATTGTTTACGAAGCCGTTAACGGTCGACACGTGCTGCCTGGTTACTGTCAAAAGCAGCAGTTTCCTTTGTTTAAGTTAACGATAATTACGATGTTGCTTGATTTTTTTATATATTCAACATAAAATTTGGAGGAAATTTCCTGTCTTTCTGACGAATGAATTATTTATTATTTATTTTTTTTATCTTCACGCACAATCCCTGACGGGGTAGCCAGAGAATGAATGAATGAACGAATTAATAAAATATACTTTATTGTACACCTGAAACACATACGAAAGGAAAAACAAAACATATTTTTATTCATATTGGTAATAAATATATAATTGGCGGTCTTATCGGTTAGAAGGAATATCTATCTACCAGGCAACTATATTGTAGAGGATGTAACGTAGAAATATAAAAAAGCGTAATACATGTGATAAAGGGTAAGGGTGTACGTAAATTGTTAGAAAATATACACGACATAAATATAATTATATACTCGATAAATACATACATAGTAATATTATAAATAAATAAATTTGACAGATGATACATTGTCGAAGACCTAAAGCTTCGGATGGCTTGTCAAATTTTAGCCCTAAACCTTTTAGACGGGTTCATTTCGCAAATACGTTAAAAACTTAGGTAAAACAGAGACAGATAACGCATGGGTTATTGTGAATCAATTAAATAAGAAATCAAAGATATATTCGTATTTTAATAAACAAAGAGACTTTAATACTTGACAAATTGACAAGCAAAACAATCTATACAAATAAATAAAATTGAAGTGTCTGTTCGTAATGTCAAAATAACAGCTTTTTACTAAATGCATATGAAAGTATTTAAGGTACTTATAACAAAAAAAAAACAATTTTGGAAATTTTTGTCTGTCTGTTTGTTCAGGCTAATCTCCGAAATAGCGGGACCGATTTTGACGGTAATTTTACTAGCAGATAGCTGATGTTATAAGGAGTAACTTAGGCTTTATTATTTTAGAAAAAACATTAACGGGTTCCGCGCAAAAATTATAACCCATGAAATTCAATAGTAATAAACCCATTTTAGTGGAAAAGAGGCATTTTATCTTAGTCCTCAAGGCTGACAACGCATATCTGCATTTTAATTCGCAAACGAAGATATGTCTATGGGCCGCAGCAACCACTTACCATCAGGTGGACTGTGTGCTCGTTTGTCACCCGATTCTATAAAAAAAATAGGGAAACAAATTATGAGATGGGCAGCAGCATCTTCTTAATAACGACTAAAAATAAAAAAAACTGCGGTTGCCAACCCACTTGCCAAGGGTGACAACTATGGCAAATATCCTCCCTATGAGGCAATTTATGGAGGAGGCCTGTGTTCAGCAGTGGACTTTAATAGGCTATGATGGATGGATGTATAGAAGATAATCTACCAGGAGCACATGACCCACTGAGAGGTGAAATTATTAAATTAACATTAACATTACAACTATGGCAAATATCCTCCCTATGAGGCAATTTATGGAGGAGGCCTGTGTTCAGCAGTGGACTTTAATAGGCTATGATGGATGGATGTATAGAAGATAATCTACCAGGAGCACATGACCCACTGAGAGGTGAAATTATTAAATTAACATTAACATTACAACTATGGCAAATATCCTCCCTATGAGGCAATCTATTGGGGAGGCCCGTGTGCAGCAGTGAACTTTTTAGGCTGTAATGGATGGATGTATAGAAGATAATCTACCAGGAGCACATGACCCACTGAGAAGTGAAATTATTAAATTAACAGTAACATTACAACTATGGCAAATATCCTCCCTATGAGGCAATTTATGGAGGAGGCCTGTGTTCAGCAGTGGATTTTAATAGACTGTAATGGATGGATGTATAGAAGATAATAATCTACCAGGAGCACATGACCCACTGAGAGGTGAAATTATTAAATTAACAGTAACATTCAAAACAGACATAATAGGCTGTAACGGTAACGGTTATGCTATGGAAATAGCTAACATAATTTAATGTAGCTGTTTCAACGTTGGTGAAGATTAAGCTATATATTTTCCCGCGTAATCTTCCGAACTTTCTCTTACATAAATTGCGATCTAATAAAGAAAATGCTTTCATTCTGACATTCGCTAGACTGGAACATTCCACGGGGCCATGTGGCGCTTTTAGATTAGATTAGAAGGGCATCTGTAAAATTAACGCGTATTTATTGGTTATTAACGACGTAATGATGCAAATAAAATTGGCGCCATTATAAAACGAGTGCGTAAAGTTTTTTTTTAATTGCTTGTGAATCGTCTTAGTAACATGGAGCCATGGTAGCTTAGAGATCAAGCGCTCGTCGCAATTCAACACTATTGAAGAAATCCGGGTTCGATGTCTGCTGGCAATAATGAAATTATTAATTGCAATTTTATGTACTGATTTACCACGTGCTCGGTGAAGGACAAACACGTGAGGAAACTTGGACGACTAAAGAATAAAATATATTTCGAAGTCACATGAAGTCCGAAAATATGCTCCAGAACAGCGCGACTGACTAAATTTTTTTTATAGAATAAATATGACAAACGAGTACCTGATGGTAAGTGGATGCTCTGGCTCATCGACACCTACAAGTACCCTTGATTAAGAATCAAAATGCAGATGCGTTGTTACCCGTTAAGACTAAGATGGAAATTTGAGATCCATATATAGATCCACATAAATTAAAGTTATAGCATATATATACGTCCCACTGCTGGGCGCAGGGCTCCTTTCATTTCTTAGAGTTACGTTGCAGCTTATTAATAGTATAGTTGTAGAACGAATGGGTCGGCTCGACCGGAGAAGGACCACGCTCTCTCAGAATACCAGCGTAAAATAGCAGCTTGACGCTGCTGTATTTCGAATGGTGAGTGTAGAATTTTTTTTACTGGAAAAGAGGCATTCCATCTTTGTCCTCCCTGGTGACAACGCATCTGCATTTTGAGTCTCTATTGAGGATAGATGTATTGTAGTTATTGAGGTTTTTGTGACCATAGACATCTATGGATCACAAAAACCACTTACCATCAGGTGGACTGTGTGCTCGTTTGTCACCTTTATCCTATAAAAAAAAAAACAACTGCTGAACTGAGTGTGTTTCGAGCTAACTCAAGCGAGTATTGGAGAGGGACAACTGCCTTTATGGGAATTAAGTGAGTTTTTGATCAAATAACAAATGTTATTACTTCGTTGGAATAGAAACACAAAAATTGCGGAAAATTAAATTATAGTTTATGTTATATATTTCAGTATGCTTAACATAAAGATGTTTCAAAAAAATCTTTTCTTAAGTGTACGCGAGCACACTACACATTGAATGTAACTATTTTTTGTTTTTACGGAATTTAATTTAGAATAAATTGGTAAAACGAGACGAATTCGTTAAAAACAAGTTTCATTTATAAAGTGTTTTTTTTTTTAAATGCGTTAGAGGCACAGAAATAATCATAATACATCCAATTTCTAAAAGTAGGCTTTGGATAAATCTATGTACAAATAAATAAAATTGAAGTGTCTGTTCGTAATGTCAAAATTACAGCTTTTTACTAAATGTAAATGAAAGTATATGTGTACGATACTTATAGAAAACTACAATTTTTAACATTTTTGTCTATTTGTCTGTTTGTTCCGGGTGGACCAATTTTGACGGGACTTTCACTGGCAGATAGCTGATTTCATAAGGAGTAACTTAGGCTACTTTTATTTAAAAAATAATTAGAGTTCTTTGCAAAAAAAAAATTAAAACCCTCAATAACACGCGAGCGAAGTCGCGGGGAAGAGCTAGTAATAAATATAAAATAACAAATATGTTGGGATTAAAAATTATTAATTGCCAAAAATTAAATTGTACTTTAAATTGGTTTAATAAAAATAAGATAACGGTACAGATAAATGATACAAGTGCACCCACTTGACTGCATTAGTGCGTTCACAAGGGAAAGATATTTTCTTATCTATGGCATGCACATGGAGTCATATGAGCATCGAGTATTGCACTTGTGGGCGCCGTCTTTCTATAATTAAAGTTAGAAGCTCAAGTACATACATTAGAGTTGTATTTCGTTACTTGGAGATTGGAGTCTCTATAAAAAAAAATAATTATGTATTTTATCGCGTTTAATTTTAACCTTTTGTTTATTTTGGAGGGAGATCACATTTATACGTGGTAGAGTCAAGTTGCAGCTATATTAGTAGTATAGTTGTAGCACGAATGGGTCGGTTCGACCGGGGAAGGACCACGCTCTCGCAGAACACCAGCGTTAAATAGCAGCTTGACGCTGATGTGTTTCGTATGGTGAGTGTAGAGAACCGGAGATCCTTTTTACTAGAAAAGAGGCATTCCGTCTTAGTCCTCACTGGTGACTACGCATCTTCATTTTGATTCGTAACCGAGAATACATGTAGATGTCTGGGGGCCACAGCAACCACTTACCATTATGTGGACTGTGTGCTCGCTTTTCACCTTATCCTATAAATAAAAGATCAAGCGTAGGACCAACGGCTTTACGTGCTTTCCGAGGCACGGCGAGGAACAAAACCAATTTCCTGACCAGGTGCTACTAAGAATTGCTAGACAGTAAACCCCAATAACTGGTTTCACCATAATCAAGAGGAATTTATGTTTTATTACCTGTACATTAGGGTCGGTTGTTCGTCGCCTCGGCGGTGTGTGATGGAGCTCAGCTCTGAACCCGCCGGCGGGCTCGCCATCTGTCTCTAGAACCTTCAGTAGGTATGAGATGTAAGATGTCGCCAGTCGGAGGGTTTTTATCTGATAACAAAAGAAAAGAGATATATATGCACGTTGCAATATGTTTTAACATTGTAGAAACACGTCTGCTGGCTCCGTGGCTCAGTGGTTTAGTATTGAGTTGCGACGCTGAGGTCCGCGAGTTCGAATCCCCCACGGAACAATTTCTTATATATCGATGTTTGTCCTTGTGCAATTTATGTATGTACTAGCGATGCGCCACGGTTTCGCACGGTTGATTTCTGGACCTCGACAACAACGCTACCTACCGGGTCTAATTGTGAATTTAAACCATTCTCTAATCAACGTTATCACACACACAAAATTTCATCGAAATCGGTCCAGCCGTTTAGGAGGAGTTCAGTCACATATACACGGACAGAAGAATATATAATATGCATGTAGGTATTATACATATAAACCTTCCTCTTGAATCATTACGCCTATTGATAAATAAAAGAATTAGGCGTACAGACGACGGGAAATTACTTTGTTTTATACTGTGTTGTGGTTCCGTACCCAAAGGGTAACCACCTGGACCCTATTACTAAGCCTCCACTGTCCGTCCGTCCGTTCGTCCGTCCGTCGAAGAGGGCTCCGCTACTAAAAACAGTGATGGTACGGAACCATTTTTATTTATAATAATTAGAATACATACATACATACATATAATCACGCCTCTTTCCCGTAGGGGTAGGCAGAGACCAGTTCTTTCCACTTGCTACGATCCCTACATACTTGTTTTGCTTCGTCCACTTTCATTATTCCCTTCATACATGCTCTACGGTTTAGGATACTCTTGACCTGGCCCTTAGAATACACTATTACTATGTTGCTTGACCAGAGAAGTTGGAATTTTGTTAGATTTTTATGCGAAAACAAGTTAAATATCTAAACTTGTATTCTTTCGAAGAAAATTTAGATAGTTTGTTATTTCAATAAAAAATAACGCTTTTGGTACTTAATGCTGGTATTTTATTTACTAATCTTGTTGAATAGATGCTATTATTAATAAGGGCATCCAGGACTGTTTCTGCCACCAGGGCGGCGCCACTAGAAAGTAAGGTATAATATTTGACAGATTTCATAGTGGGGACGTTAATTTGTTCGGAAAATGTAAAGAGTAATGTTTATTCTTGCACTATTAGCTATATTTTATAAGATTAAAATAAATAAATCAAATCGCAGATATTCATAAAAGTAGAAATTTAAAAAAGTGTAAATGTGCGAAAAAAATAAAGACCAAACCACTGAGGCATTGTTTTGTGTATTAATATAATACTCTAGAAACTGATAAACTACTATTAAAAACTAACTTCACAATTAAATGACATTGTGTAACAAAAAACTTTACCTCAGTGTCGACTAGCGACATCTGGTGAGCAGGAAATTATTAGCCCTATTATAGTATCAAAAATTGAACATCAAAATTTTGGGTATGGTATATGGTAATTCAGACCGGGTTAAAATAGCTTACATTATAATTAATCACATTAGCAATAAGCGGACAAATTAAATGATGATTTGGTAGTAGACATAGAGTATAAATAAGCAAGCTATGTTTGTGTACCTATACCAAGGAGGTTATAATATATTTTTATAACCTCCTTGTTTAAAACTTTAAAACGACAAAGTGAATGTTATTTGCTATCTCATTTGTTTCTTGTACTATTTTTTTTAAATTAACTTTCACAGAGTAACTGTTTCAGACTGTTATGGAAATATGTTTGTGGAATGAACGGTATCTAAATTTTCACTGACCTTTGTCATCTTTGTGTCAGGCAGAACGCTTGGTATACGCTCCCTGAGGTTTGAGAACGCAGTGTTGATGCTCTGCGATCTCTTTCGCACCATCTGGCGGGCGTACAAGTTGAAATGAGACAGCAAATATGAGATTTATACTTTAATCAAAAATGTGCAATTGCATTGCTTTATTGACATGGTATATCTAAATTCTGCTTTCGCAAAAAAAGCTCCAAAATAATTCATGGGTTTTTTTCCAAGGCGCATTGCAAATTAACACTTTAATCTTTCGGGTTTAAAAAATAATAAAAAGAGACCTCTAAGTAAATATATATCTTTTACAATAGTAAACCTAACCATGCATACGATTTAAGAACATTAATTATTAAATCTAACTTTGAAGTCATCCACGCCCCCCACAATTTTCATCATTTGGAAATTTATAATCCTAAACCTATTATACGAGAATTTAACCCTAAAACATTCATATTTTAATTGAGGTAAAGACCTGTCATACGTAGATTACGAAAACCATTGAGTTATATTATTAATATAAATATTATTAATTATACCTTACTGCATGTTTTAAATTGTGTAGATTTTTTTTAAAAATTTAATTCTAATTTAATGTAGTAATATAATTGTACTACGGAAGAGCGGGTCCCTCTACTACAGGTATCTATTTACTTAAAAGAGTAACCAACAATATTGTAACAACTTACTACTTCTTTAAAGCAATAAATTATTATTATTAAAATATAAAAATGAATCACTGAATGTGTTGCTAAGCGCAAATACTCGAGAGCAGCTGAACCGATTTCGCTAATTCTTTTTTTTATAATATTCCTTGAAGTACGAAGATGGTTCTTACGGAGAGAAAAATTTAAAAAATTGCTTGAAAAAGTCTAAAAACAACACTTTTCTATATTCCCATACAAAAGATTCGTAATAATACTTAAAAGTCAATTTGAACTTTAATACCATACCATAAAGTTTAAGTGTTAGTGGAGGGGTTCCTTACTGCATGTTTTAAATTGTGTAGATTTTTTTTTAATTTAATTCTAATTTAATGTAGTAATATAATTGTACTACGGAAAAGCGGGTCCCTCTACTACAGGTATCTATTTACTTAAAAGAGCACCCAACAATATTGAAACAACTTACTACTTCTTTAAAGCAATAAATTATTATTATTATTATATGTTATAGAGAAGCTATTCCAAACAAAAATTGTGTGCTACTCTATGTCTTCGCGCATGCGCGGGAGTAGTAGTCGCGTATGCGCGAATACTTGAATCTATAATATTAAAATGAATCGCTGAATGTGTTGCTAAGCGCAAATCTCGAGAGCAGCTGAACCAATTTCGCTAATTATTTTTTTATAATATTCCTTGAAGTACGAAGTTGGTTCTTACGGAGAGAAAAATTTAAAAAATTGCCTGAAAACGTCTAAAAACAACACTTTTCTATATTCCCATACAAAAGATTCGTAATAATATTTAAAAGTCAATTTGAACTTTAATACAATAACATAAAGTTTAAGTGTTAGTGGAGGGGTTCCGGGGAGGCAAAACAATTCAGTGACGTTAGTATACGTAATGCTAATGTCAATATTTGTCAATTAGAATAAGTAAAAATAAAATGAAATATAATAAGTAGGTATCATCAGGCTGGCGCAACTTCCATAGTAAAAATTGTATGTACTACAGGGATCAAATTTTAATGACGGTTATCTCTTCTTTCTGCTTTTCGTAATATGTCTATTAACGACCTTGTCAAATAAATAGGTTCAAATGTCAAATCAAACAATTACATTTGTATATATTTTATTTATTAAGATTGCTTTAAATTTTGTTATAGAAGCTGTTGTTCATTTACAGAATTGTTAAAAAAATAAATATGCATTATAAAATTTGCCAATTAATTGGTGCAAGAAGCGGACAAAATAATAACAAAAAAAGGCTATTCGTAGCAATATTTCCCTTAGAAGATGAAAGGTATGTGGTGAGTTTAACTTTAATTGTAATATGATGTTTAACGCGACTACATTTTTGGACTAGCCTTTTACATGGGACAGGTTTTAATAGTGTACGATTGTGTGTACAAATACAAACACACAATTTCCTATATCTGATAGTTCGATAGTATGGCAATCCGAAACCAACTATACTTAGAAACTACATCATCAATTGTGACTGATAACATTTTATTTGTTCCATAAAAATGTGATTTTATTTATATTATTTTTCAGATGCAAGCAATGGGCGAAACAGCTGACACATGCACCAATTGAAAAGATTCACATGTTAAAACATATTTGTGGCAAACATTGCAAATCCGAGGATTTCGAAATCCAACTAAAACGAACTGTTATTTCATCAGTGGAGTTAATTTAAACTTCCACTATTATGTGTATGTTAATTAGGTTTCATTTACATGTAGCAAAAGATAATATCCCTCTAAAGTCACATATTCGTAAGAATTCGATTATATAACTAAACTTATTGTAATTACCTGGTTATAAATATTTTTTTAATAGATTCATCTACAAACATTACCTATAATGAGCACTCATTTTGAAAGCGACAATTAGTAAACGATCTCTGTGAGTAGTAAGTACGTAGGTACCTCTGTGAAGAAGCCTAGCGATTTGTACATAGTATTTGTTACACTTAAAAGCAATTTAATCCAATTAGTGTTAATAAACCCAATTTTAACCCTTTAAAAAAACTGACGTTAAATACAAGCATCCAGACGCAGACTATTTATTTTACAGCATAGCAACACTTGTTCAGTGCGGGAACGAATCCTCGGTCCAGCAATGCCGCAGCCAAACGCTTAGCCTCTGCGCTACGGAGTCGTCATTTAGTTTTTACTTAATTTAGTATAATAGTGCGTTTTAATTTTTATTTTCTTTACACATATTTTCGTACCTAATAACTGTAGAGATATAATTACAAATTTCTGCGTGTAAAATACAATGATTTGTTATCGTAATCGGCATTTTTACTCAATCCCCAGGTTAAAAAAAGTATTGCTCATAAATATTTCAGTATAGAGAACTAACTTTAATTATGTAAAATATCGATAAACAATATATCGATAAAGGTTATATCGATAAAATTATTCGAGGATAGACATTTACAGCACTATTATAAATCGCCTATATTGTCAGCACTGTTTCTCAAAAATTAAATATCATGTCTTGATGTTGGTAGAGTAGCTTGGCGCAATGTCATACATTTACTTTTTCTTAGAAAGTCACGTAGTGGTTATAT